CTACAATAATTTTTACTTCCCCACAATAATTTTTATTTCCCCACTGTGCGTCGGTATTTGAGAATGAGTTGATAAGCGAAGTGGATATTAGTGAAGTAATATAAAGCAACATAATGTTTTATAATTAATTTCTGCCTGATTATCCTCATTTTCTTCGGTTTAGGAGATTCATATTATATTTATCTATAGTCCTTTAGTTTTTAAGCGAATTTCTAAATATCGTTTTTGCGCTATAATTGAAAATGTATTGTCGCTCCTTATCTAGCACAGGGAACTCTTTGTCTAGCACATGTTAAAAGTACTAACTTCAAATGCAATTTATCTTTTGAACATGCTTGGTTACTTTCCCTCAAAATGATACGTATGTATAGAGAATGTCATTATCTTCAAATAGTAAAAGTAGCTTCAAACAAATCTTAAGAAAAGTCATTTTGCGATACAACCACCTTAAAATCACAATTTAATTTATTCGTCTCTTGATCCATTCTATAAATCCAAAAAAACATAAAAAAATATAGGAGGAGAAAGAAAGAAGGGAATGAAATAAAAATAGAAAGAGAGGGAAGGAAGAAAGGAGAGGGAGGGAGAGAGAGAGAGAGAGACATTCTTGAATATATCTAACCTGGTATAAAAATCATATTAAATTAGACATATTCACAAAATGCTCATAAATAAATGAGGTGTAAAGTGTTTAATGGGAAGCATGGTCTCTCATTCGACGTTATGATTACTGCGAAGTATCCGTACACAGGGCCGCATAATCTCCTCGTATAAAACAAAAACGTAGATGTCGATCGTATAAATAGAACCGTTCGTCTGCACGGAGATGCGGTCCTATATAGAAGAGTTATTTTTGAGAGTCATATCGTGACTCGTTACAGTGCTGCGTTCAGTTCTATAAGGTTTCGGTCGCGGCAAGCAGTGCAAATGGTTTCACGCATCATATACAGAACAAAGAAACCAAGGCATAATTAACTTAATACGTGAGCAAAAGTTATTGACTATGCCATTAGGATTTAATTTCTTATATTCGCGTTACTGTTCTTTTTCCGCTAGGTGAAAGGTTTATTTTTT